GGCCTGACTGTGGCTGGAAGGATGAGAACAGTTGCAGCTAGTGTCTCTGACCCAGGGAAATGCATGTGAGCTGATGGGGATGGGAGGGGAGGTGCACCATAGAATAACACAGAAAGAACAAGCCAGAACGGGACCCAAAGGCAAGGGCAGGATGCGGCAGAGTTCCGGATAGGGATTCGAATCCTGCCAGCACCTGGGCAGTGCCAGAGCCTGGAGAGAGGCCTCAGCCTGCGCCTCCGCACCGCCACCTCCCGCAGATCCTCCAACTGCGCGGACGGAGCACCGACCCAAGCAGGGCCCCTTGGGCACAAGGCAGGGTGAGGCCGCAGATCACTGACTCAGTGGGGAATATTTGCACTTATAGACAAGGGGGAAAGCTAAGGCTCACGGGGAAGAAACGGCCTTGCCTCAGGTTTTTCTCCCGGGGCCCAGACTAGGATTCCCTGAGGATGGAAGGACTTTCCCTGCTTCGGGCGCTTCCCCCGCCCCACACCCCATAAGCAGCCAAAATACCAACTGTGCTCCCCACACAGTTGCAGAGGGAAACTCCAGGTCTGAGCAAAGCTCAGGAATCCAATTGGAATGAGATTTCATTTTCTATCCTGCTTTGGTTTCCTAACATCACGGAGTGCGGCTGGGCCGGCAGCCAGCTAAGCTCAGGAAGCGTGCACGGGTGGCAGGGCGGGGCGGGCCGCTGCGCGAGGCTGTCACCAGAGGGCGACGCTAGGAACGGGGGTGCGGGAGGCGAGGAGGAGGATGAGAGCCAGCCTCCGAACCCCGGAAGCCCATCAACGAGCCCACAGGGTCTCGAACCTCTTACATGCAACACGATACATGTGAGTCTGTGGAGGTCTCCACATGTTTGGGCAAAGTGTTCACGGCTTCCATCAGATTCTTAAAGGGCTCCCAAAACAGGTTGGAAGCAATCTCTCTCCTTCCAGATGAAGAAACTTAGTGGCATGAATAAGAAATGAATGAGGAAAACCTACAGAACCAGAAGCGGCATGTGGGCCTCTTCCCCTTCGCAGCTGTCACGGAAGCGCCAGCGGTCAAAACGAAGTTCAGGCCCTTTGTGCCTTCTGATCAGAGCAAGGACCATACAAGGCATTTCAGTGCACATCCCACAGTCACAGAAAGATCATGTCTTCCCCTCTTTCCAAAGAGCGGAGGCGGAAGTACAACGTTTGATCCATGCCCACCCGAAAGGATGGTGAAGCTCAGGTTGTGCGAGGACCTTACAAAGGGCAGCAGATTGGCAAAGTGGCCCAGGCTCACAGGAAGGAACGTGTCACCTGCACTGAACGAGTGTGATGGGAGAAAGCTAATGGTACAGCTGCTCGCGTGGGCTTCCACCCCAGCAAGTGGCTATCACCAGGCTAAAGCTGTACCAAAGCCACAGAAAGATCCATGAGTGTAAAGCCAAATCTCGCCAGCCAGGAAAAAGGGCAAATAGAAGGGAGAAACAATTGAAGAGATGCATGAATAAAGTAATCTTATATACAACTTTCATTACCAACTGAAAATTAAAAAAAGAAAAGAAAAGAAATGAGCGATGTAGACCAACCACACTGGCTGGACGGGGAGGGCAGAGGCAGCTTTGTGGCGTCTTGCCCCGCCTTGCAGTCTCCTGAGCATGCCCAGGCATTACTTCCCTGGATCCTCTCGACCACTGCCCTCACAGCGGGTCAGCCAGGCAGGGCCTCCTAGTTCCTGGGCATACAATGCAGAGCAAATTATAGCAATAGTTGCCATTCACTGAACTGCAACCTCAGGTACCACACTGGTTCATTTACACAGGCTCTTTGATTTCATCAAAGAGGAATCAGGGAATTTCCTGGTACGCAGGGGAAAAAACTTTCCTTTCTCCCTGAGAGACAGAAACTAAGATCAAAGCAAGGAAACAGGAATTGAGCTCACATGGAAAAACTGAACAAACCTTAGCAAAATTGTCAGGATTTCTCCAGGAACAGTGGAGTGTGGTAGAAAGTCTCACAGGATAGAGTAGCAGAAAGGGAATTACAATTAGGTCCTTCTCCCTCCTCTGTCCGCCCCCACAGTCCACTGCAACCACTAAAAGGGAAGAAAAATATGCCTGATGTATGTACTCATTGCCTGTTCCCGCTTAGCAACCCCACCACCCAACCACTTATACACAAACACACATGGCAGAAAGGTTCGCAGTGATGTAAAGATAAGGATCACACCCTGGCTGGTGTGGCTCAGTCCTGCACAGGGAAAGATCACGGGTTCGGTTCCCAGTCAGGACACATGCCTGGGTTGCAGGCCAGGTTCACGGTTGGGGGCGTGCAAAAGGCAACTGATTGATGTTTCTCCCTTCTTTCTCTCTCTCCCTTCCCCTCTCTCTAAAAATAAATTTAAAAATCCTTGTTTAAATAAATAAATAATAAGGATCACGTTGGTCCATCTGTGGGTTGGTTCCCTCACCTCTCTCCTCAACTCGTGCCCCAACTCACGTATTTGGTATCCAGGGAAGAGAAAAACTTTCTTTTCTCCCTGAGAGAGAGAAACTAAGGTCAAAGCAAGGAAACAGGAATGGAGCTCACATGGAAAAATTGAACGAACCTTAGCAAAATTTTCAGGATTTCTCCAGGAACAGTGGAGTGTGGTAGAAAGTCCATGAACCCAGACTTGGGCTCAGTGTTGAGTTCTTTAGGCTATGGGGCCTTAAGCAAATCATGTAACTGACTCCCTTGCTTAAAAATCAATAAAGGTCAAGTAAAAATAAATTAGAGGTCGCTAATCCCAATCTTGTCTATATTGTCGAAAAGCCTAAAGTAGAGCATATCCTGAAAGTGACTGCCATTTTCTTACTCTGAATAACGACATGATAATAGCTACTATTCTTAAGTACTTAACATGCATCTGGCATTGCACTAAGAGCTTACACGCATGAGCACAGCTATTGGGACTGCGGAGGGGTCAGTACGATTGTCCCTGGTTTATAGATGAGGACATGGAGGCCAGGGAGAGTAAGTGACCTGCCCGGTGGGAGGAACACCGAAGCCCCTGCCCTTAACCAACAGGCCCCACAGCGTCCCCCGTGTCCGGTCACTAAGGGGGCTGTGTGACAGGCACGATTAAAACAGGCAGGACATCATTCTGTGGACGATGGATGTCTCTGAAGTGCTTGCAATCTCTCTCTTCCAGTGAGATGGCCATGCCTTCCAGAATTGGGTTTCTCCCGCTAATTGGTTCATGAGGAAGGAAGGAAGGGATTCTTGCGACAAGCTTAGAACAGCGCCTGGCATCTAAAGAGGACACCGCCACTGTTGAGGGCCTGACTGAGTGTAGGCCTGGCCGTCAGAAACACCTGATGAGCTCTGTGAGCTGGAGGACCTTCATGAGCACTTCTGAGGCTCAGTTTCTGCTTCTGCAAAGAGAGATTAACCACCGCCCTGCCTCAAAGACATTGGGAGGAAGAGAGAACTGGAGGTCTTCCCTTCTGGGTCACTCAGCCACCCTCAGCCACCACTACCTATATGACAGTAGCCAGCCAGAAAATGGTCTTGGTATAAGACTACTTTTTTTTTTTTTTTTTTTTTTTTTTTTTTGCCACATTTTTTAAAAGTGTGGTTGCTTTTTGCGACTGGCCAGAGACACTTTTTGCTTAGATGATTCAGAAGTCAACTCCAGCCCAGGCCAAGGTGTCCCTGATTCTGACTTATCCAAACAGGAACCGGTGAAGATTTACAGCACCCAATTCTTCGGAGCGGGTAAGAAGCCTGGCTCTCCTTAAGACCACCCCATGGGTCCATCTCAAGGATGTCCCCAACCACGAGCCTTTTAATGGCGAGCACCACTTGGGGGGCGGAGAGCGGAAGCCGGAGCTAGGACAGCCCGGTTCCGATCCCATTTGCTGTGTGTTCCTAGTCACTTCCACTCTGCGGGCCTCCGTTTCCTCTTCTGCAACTGGAGAACATGGAAAAATGATCCCTAAGTCCCTTTGCAGCTTTCATAGTCCGTAGCTTTTTGTGTTTTAGAAATGGAATGGGATTCCAGCATTTACTGATCCTCGTGTGTAAAATGGGAAAATGGAAACAAATAAAGTGAAATCAATAAAATAAAATGGGGAAATGGGCATAATAATAGTAAATGAGTTGGCCCATGTGCAGCCCTTAGAATAGTGGCTGGCACGGAGCAGGCCTTCGGCAGGCGGCTGATAGTCACAGTCCATCTCTTGCCCTCTCCGTCCCCCACAAGTCTGTAAGCTCAAAGACATTAAGCAATGTGTCCAAGGATCACCCAACAAGTAAATGGGGGTGACCCTGAGGCCACCACCCACTCCAACCCATATCTGGTAGTGCCCAGTTCAGACCTAATGCCCCAGTCACCTCCCTTGGGGGCTATATGTTAGAGGACCCCCCCTTCTCAATAGAACACCTCACAAATAACATCCTTCTGAGGATGACAGAGAGAAGATACACACTTGTAAATCATCAGAAAGAACTTTGAAAACAACCAAATAAACACCTGGTTGTTACCGACTCGGCCCTAACTGCCCCTCCCCCTGCCCGTGCCCCTGGGGAAGCGGCTTCCTGCCCTCTGGGAGGAGCCCTGCCCCTGGGGATGGTGCTGAGGATGCAGCAGAGAGGAGGCTTCCCCGCCAGCCAGCGCAGGTGCCAGCTCTCCTTGAGGACAAACGGGGAACGTGAGCTCCCTCTGGGTCTGAGGGTGGTGAGGAGGTGAGGAGGAGAGGGAGGGAGAGGGAAAGTGAGTAAGAGGGACAGGAAAAGAGGGAGAGGGGGAGAGGGGAAGAGCTTCACACTTCCGGAGGCTATTTCAGTTTTCTTTTCCTTTTGATGAAATTTCAGTTCTGATGTCAGCCAATGCATGGCTACTATTTTGGGAACTCCCTCTGGGAGGACACTCCCTCTACTGGTCAGACTCGCTCCCTATAAAGGGCCTGCCTGAGCGGCAGAGCATCCCTACAGGGGACCCCACGCAGCACAGGACCTCCCACAGCCTCGGACACAGGTACCATGGAGGTCTCCGCTGCAGCCCTGGCCGTCCTCCTCCTCGCCGCCGCCTTGTGCGCTCCTGCATCTGCCTCGCCATGTGAGTCCCAGTCCTGGCCGCCTGAGCCAGACCCTTGGACCAGCCCAGACCTTGCCCTCTTTTCAACTATAGCATTTGTATGGTCTGGGATCTATGGGTTACATTCTTACTTACTGCTTTTCCTAGATGTCCAGTGGTGCCTGTTAGATGTCTAAGCCGCTTCGTGGTGGACCCTCTGATTAACTTTTCTGTGTCTTCAAAACCTATGCCCCAAGTTTGCAGGTGCCCACTGAGTGCGGACTGATGCTCGTGGTCTTAGCAGGCGGGGGCAGCTCCAGCTGACCCCAAAACATGACTGGCTCGTGCCTGACACCAGCAGGCCTTCTAAGAAACTTTTAAGCACTTAGCTGAAACCTTCCTGTGGCAGCCATATTTTTCCCCATTTCGTAGACAGAAAAAAATGGGGCTTGGGGAAGGGTAATGAAAGCTAATTAAACATTGTACCTACAATGGGGCAAGTATTATGCTGTCTGCTTTATATATGTCATATATTTAACACTCACAACTACTCTTTGAGTAGCTGTCCTTACTTACAGATGGGGGAACAGAGGCCCAGAGAGGTTAAGGAACTTGCCAAGATCACACAGCTAGGAAGTGAAGAACCTGGCATTCAAACCCAGTTCTATTTGGCTCTTAAGCGCTCCTCCTCCACTGGGAAGTGGCAACCGACATTTCTCAGGGTCACCCTGAATTAACTGACCAGCAGAAATCCTCCTCCTCCTCTGCTAGAGCACTTCTTGCTCTGCCTCAGCCAAGGCTCCTAGGACCCAGTGAGCATCTTCGCTCTGAGTTTTAGAAGCCTTCTCCCAGTCCACCATAGATCTCAAAGAAACCAAGTTCTGAATCCATTGAGGATCCTAGGAAGGCAAGAATAAGGACAGAGGGCCCAACAAGTCAGGAGGAGGCCCAGCGTGTCCTGAGAGCCCAAGGCATGGGGGTGACGGTGTAGAGAGAAGGCCACCGCTAGGCTTAAGGATTAGATGAGGGATTTGGGAGGTCCCCTCAGTCCTCTGTTGGAATTCCCCTCTGTCACTGTGTGCCTGTGGGCAAAGTGACTCTACTCTCTGAGCCTCTGTTTCAGCCCCAGGAGGGTAACAGTCTGTCTAAGATAAGTCATATAAAGCACCCAGCGCGATACCCTGTGCACACTGGCGGTAAATACAAGGTCTCCTTCCTTCCTTTCCCAGATGCCCCCGACACCACGCCCTGCTGCTTTGCCTACACCTCCCGCCCACTGCCCCCCACCCACGTCCAGGAGTATTTCTACACCAGCAGCAAGTGTTCCATGCCAGCAGTCGTGTGAGTCACAGTCCCATGGAGCCCCCCGGGGTGGGGGAGGAAGGGGCCTCTCTTGTTGCAGAGCCCGTCCACCCACGCCCCAAGCCCTCTGGGAGGGTGCCCCACCCACTCCCACCCATCCCCTAGCTGCGCAGACTACCGTGGCTCCTCCCTCTCCAGCTTCAGGTTCCCCAGCTCTCATGAAAAGGGTTAGACAAGGTGTTCTCGGAGGATCCTCCCCACTCTGATGGACTAGGTTAGGTCTCCAGTCTTTACAGATGTGACTCTTGACTTGAAAACCATCTGCACAGCCCCTGCATGTAGATCAACTCAGTCATTTCTTTCCAGTTAAGAACCCGAGAGCCCCCCACAATCTGCAACCAATCAAACAAATCCAACTACAACCTCAGAGGAACTGGGGAGGAGCAGTCAGAAGCTAGGGTCCTAGTTACGGTCACTTGTGTAAAAAAAAAAAAAATTTATGGGTAAAGAAATGAGATTCTTTAAATATGCAAGCTAATACATTTGAAAAAAATATGTAATAATCCCTACTACCTAGGGAGTACCTACTCTGTATCAATATTGTACCAACTATGGGTCAACTATTATGCTGATTGCTTTATATATGTCATCGTATTTAACACTCACAACTACTCTTTGAGTAGCTGTTCTTGACTTACAGATGGGGGAACAGAGGCCCAGAGAGGTTAAGGAACTTGCCAAGATCACACAGCTAGGAAGTGAAGAACCTGGCGTTCAAACCCAGTTCTATTTGGCTCTTAAGCGCTCCTCCTCCACTGGGAAGTGGCAACCGACATTTCCCAGGGTCACCCTGAACTAACTGACCAGCAGAAATCCCCCTCCTCCTCTGTTAGAGCACTTCTTGCTCTGCCTCAGCCAAGGCTCCTAGGATCCAGTGAGCATTTTCGCCCTGAGTGTGTCAAATGTCTCTAAATATCATCGTACCAGCCCTGACGGGTACGCATAATTCTCTCCATGTTACAGATAATGAAACTGAGACTCAGAAAGGGGCGAGGTGCCCAAGGGTGCCCAGGAAGTGAGGGGTAGAGCCTGTCTCTGGACCCTCCTCTTTGTACTGTAACAGGGCCATTAGTGATAGTTGCTTAAGAAATTTAAGATGACAGAGACTTAAAGAATGAAAATGGGGCAATCATGACATTTCCTATATAATGGTAAGGTTTGTTTTCTTTTTTAAATTATTTATTTTCTTTAGAGAGAGGGGAAGAGAGGGAGAGAAACATCAATGTGTGGTTGCCTTCCCCATACCCCGCTCCTGGGGACCTGGCCACAACCCAGGCCTGCGCCCTGACTGGGAATCAAACCAGCAGCTCTTTGGTTTGCAGGCCAGCGCTCAATCCACAGAGCCACACCAGCCAGGGCAAATGGTGAAACTTTTCTAATCCAAAAACTCTTGTGACACTGGTAAAGTTATAGGTATTCAGAGTTGGCCTTTGGTTCTAAAGACTCCTTCAAAATATAGCAGTCATATTTAGCACTACTAATTGCATTTCTAAAAACAAACATTTCTCAAGATAATAAAAAGCCGTTCTCTGAGCACCTGTTAAGGACAGGCCGAGAGGAGTAAACCACCCACTGTGTCCTCAGGGGTCTAGCAGTCTGGTAAGAGGAGGAGGCCAGGCGGGGAGGCGAGGACCAGCGCCTGCATAAGAACATGACAAAAGGCTTCAGGGGTCAGGAGAAGGGGTTTAAGGGGAGTTTGCTGTAAAAGGTTCATCTGAGTCGGGAAGAGAAGAGCCAGAGGGACTGGGTGTACCAGGCAAGGGACTGTCACCAGGGGTCTCCTTTGGTTTTCTCGAGTCTGAGGGCTTTGAGTGCCCTCAACGAAGCGAAAGCGTTAGCGCTGCCAGGTGTGGCATGCGCGGGGACAGGGAAAGCCTAGAAAATAGGGGTCCAGTGAAGAGGCATCATCGTCCGCGGGAGTGTGGGGGAAGGCTGAACAGCACCCGAAAGGAAAGGAAGGGGACAGGGTCGGGGGCCTTCAGAGGTGGAGTCGGCAAGCCCTGTCCGCTGATGTGAAGTCAGGAGCGAGGAAGAGAGGGGTTGAGGGTGATGCAGTGGCTCCAACCCAGGCAGCTGGAGCAGTGGGGAGTCCCCTGAAGTTCCCTTTAAAGAGGAAGGAGCACCCTGGCCGGAGTGGCTCCGTTGGTTGGAGCGTTGTCCGGTATCCAGAGGGTCGTGGTTTGATTCTGGTCAGGGCGCACGCTGAGGTTGCGGGTTCCATCCCCAGCCTGGGCATGTACGATTGCCCGTCCGGGTGAGTATGGGAGGCAACCAATTGATATTTCTCTCTTACCTCACTGTTTCTTTCTCTCCCTTCCTCTCTTCTTCCCCCTCTCTCTAAGAGCAATGAAAGAGAGAGAGAGAGAGAGAGAGAGAGAGAGAATCCTCGAGTAAGAATTAAAAAAAAAAAAGAGTGAAGGTACCAGCATGACCACCCTGTGGAAGTGTCTAGCAGGGAGCATAAGGCTGAGGTTGGCAGCTAGGGAAAGGGTGTTGGGACTAGAGATATGACATTCTTTTATAGGACGAAGGGCTCCCCCAGTATAAGAGTGGCGATGAGCGTTGTCTTGGCCGGCTCCAGAGCTAGTCTCTTTGTTAGAATCCCAGCTGGGAGCCCATCTCAGCCTCTCTGAGTCTCAATTTCTTCATCTGTAAAGTGGAGTAAAATAGTATTATATCCCCCACTGGGTCAAAGCAACAATCATAAAATGAAAGATAAAATTAAAACATTTCCTTCTCCTCCCCTAAATGTGTTATTATAATAATAGCAGTGACAAGTGAAACGTGATGAGTGAATGCAATCCATTCACTTATTCAATAAACATCCATTAAGCACCCACTTCGTGCTAGACCCAGGGCCAGAGACTTGGGAAAGCACACGGAAAACAAAAGGGCAGCAGCTTTAAGTAATTCTCATGGAACAGGTGAAGGTGGTGGCCGAGATGGAGCGAGAAAAGCGGCAGGAGGGAAGTCGGGCGAACAGAGGGTGCCTGGTATGGGCGCAGGGGGAGAAGGCCACGCTGCACGGAGGAGCAGCCCTCCCAACCTTCTGACTTCCTGGCCGCAGGCCAAAGAGGCCGAGAAGAGGAGACAGTGAGTCAGCAGGACTTCCTGTATGCCACTCGGCCTAACCAGGGCAGGGTCAGGTCTGAAGCTCTCTCACCACCCAAAACAAGAAAGCCAACACTAGGAGGCACAAGAGCCCGGGATGCCCCTTCCGCTCCCTTTCTCTGCTCTGCGCCCCAGGAGTCGGGGGGTGGGAGGAAGATGGTCACAGGGCCCTGAGGCTCGGGACAGGGAAGCAGCTCCACTGAGAGCCAACGCTATCCACAATGGAGCAGGGAAAGGGACCAGAAAGTCCCCGTTCTCACCAGGCCACCTGATCCTTCACTTTGTCTGAAAACGTCCCAAAGGGGAAGCCAAAACAAGACAGGGCCAGCAGACGGGGCTGGCCCCAAGGTAACATGCTCACTGGACGCACTGCCACCTGGGCCCGCTCTCGGTGGACGAGCTCTTCCTGGGCTCCGTAGGCCCCACGCACCCTTAGCTCCCGCGGAGGCACGGCTCAGCGCCCGAGTCACAAGGCACACAAATCTGCTTCTGGCTTGGAGGCCTTGGGATCAACTGAAGAGCAAATATCCTTCCCTTAAGAGCCACAGACACAGTCATAGGGAGCTCGCCAAACAGATCCAGCCGGCACCACCATCTTCTCCCCTTCCGCCTCAATCTGTCTCCTTCCCAAAACTGGCCATCTAAGCGCTGACCAGGCCTCACTCTCGTCTTCTCCTCTCCCACAGCCTCATCACCCGAAGGAAGCGTCAGGCGTGTGCTGACCCACAGAAGAAATGGGTGCGGGAGTTGATCAACACTTTGGAGATGAGCTAGGATGGAGGGCGCCTCGAGGCCGAACTTGCGCGAACTTTCTCCTTGCTTCTCGCTCTTGTCCTGACCAGCTTTCGAGGCTTCTCCCCAATCCCCTACTCCCACCCCTCCCCGGAGGGCCCAGATTCCACCACACAGCAGCAGTTAGGAAAGCGTCCCGCACGTAAGCCTCCAAGAGCTCCCAAGGCTCTGCAGCGCACACAGGAAATCTCCAGGCTTTGAGCTTCGGGCACTCTGCTCAGGCACGGCTCTGCGGTCAGTAAAGAAGTCGGCGCGCTGTGGAGTCGAAGGAGGGTGAAAAACCTGGCTTCTGTGGAAACGTCCCGTGGCCAGAGCTCCGACCTCAGCCCCTCTCTGGGATAGGCTGCCTGGCAAAAGGGACAAATTAGCTTTCCATTAAAATCCTCGAGGCAATTACAAAGCTGGTGCCTGGTTTGATTCCCTCCTCAGGATCCCGCCTTCCTCATGAACGTTATGCACACGAGGGTCCAGCCAGACACATGTCTGGTGTCTACCCTAGATCTGGGGGCCGTGGCCCTGCACAGTGAGCAGGGCTGGGAGCACAAGCTCTCTGAGAAGGCACATGCGCGGGGCAGCGCAGGTCAAGTAACTAGCAGCTTATCCGCCCTGGGGGATACTCTACACGTGCTCCTGGAATAGGTTTAATGGCAATCCCAAAACACCTCAGGTCTTTCCAATAAAGAGAATAAATACAGAGGTGGGAGTACTCCAACTTTCCCATCTATGTGTCCCTTCACAGGAGCATGTATTAACAATACTATCGTCATAATTATAGACAGCATAACTGAGCGCTCACTATGTGCCAGGCGTTGCTAGCCCCTTACACCCATCATCCTTCACCCTCACAGCCCTTTGGGGTTAGATAGTATTATTAACTATGTTTACTGCTGGGAAAACCCTTGGCAAATGAAAGAAATTATTTCCCAAATCCCCAAAGTTTAAAAAAAAAAAGTGGGGGAGGGGTGAGACATTTAAAGATTTATTTATTTATTTTTAGAGAGCGGGGAAGGGGGGGAGAGAAGCATCGACCTTGGACCTGGCCTGCAACTCAGGCATGTACCCCTGGCAAGGAATCGAACTGGTGGCCTTTTGGTTCACAGGCCAGCACTCAATCCACTGAGTCACACCAGCCAGGGAGAGGGTAAAACATTTAAACCCATCAGGTCTAATGCTGAAGTCCATACTTTTTTCTTTTTCCCCCCATATTTAATTTGCAAAATTTCAAACCTAAAGAAATTTGCAAGAACACACCCACAGATCCTTCATCTAGGTTCAGATATTAACATTTTACCATATTTGCTTTATCTATATGCATATGTGTACGTGTGTGTGTATATAGTTGATACACCATTTTTTCTGAATCTGAGAGTAAGTTGCAGATGTGATTTCACTACACATCAACTGGCTGCCTCTAGCACATGCCCCACCTGGGGACCGAACCCACACCCCAGGCATGTGCCCTGACCGAGAATCAAATCAGCCACGTTTGGCTTTGCAGGATGACGCCCAACCACTGAGCCACACTGGAGCCGCCCCTAAAAGTTTAAGTATATATTTTATGCTCAGAAAACTGGCTATTGACACAATATTATTTTCTAATATACAGGCCATGATCGAATTCCCACAATTGTCCCAATAATGTCTTTTACAGCTGATTTTTAAATCCGGGATACAATTATGTACACCTATTGAATTTAGCTGACATGTCTTTTTAGTGTCCTTTCACAGAATTTTTGTCTTTCAGTACATGGATACTTTTTAGGCATTCAGATCAGATTTTTATAGAACACTTCATTTGAATTTGCCTAATTGTTTCCTCATAATTAAATTCCAGTTAAACGTTTTTTGCAGGAACACTAGAAGAGTGACGCTTTCTCAGTGCAGCACATCAGGACACATGATGTCAGTTTTCTAGTGATATTAAGTCTGATGGCTTGTTGGCCCATCTTTCCTTGCTGTGGAGCTGCCTGCTGTGTGCCAGGCACTAGGCATTGGCTGGGCAGGAGGCGGGGGGGGGGACAGAGGGGCAGGTGTTGGGAGCAAAATAAATTGGTGAATAAGCTACCAGCCACAATCTTTTACTTTCAGGCTGTTCATAGTTCACTGAAGAACATGGGGGGAATCTATGAAGAGATTAAACATACAATAAACACTTAACAGGAAGCACTGCGCTGACCAGTGTGGCTCAGTTGGATGGGCATTGTCCTGCAAAGCAAAATGTCGCCGATTTGATTCCAGGTCAGGGCACATGACTCGACTGCAAGTTCAGTTCTCAGTCGGGGTGCATATGAGAGGCAACCGATGGATGTTTCTCTCTTACATGGATGTTTCTCTCCCTCTCTTTCTCCCTCCTTTCCCCTTTCTCTAAAAGTAAATAAATAAAAATCTTATAAAAAATGAAAATAAATAAAGGGAGCCCTGGCTGGTGAGGCTCAGTGGATTGAGTGGGGCCTGCAAACCAAAGGGTCACCGGTTTGATTTACAGTCTAGGGCACATGCCTGGGCTGCGGGCCAGGTCCCCAGTAGGGGGCCTGTGACAGGCAACCGCACATGGATGTTTCTGTCCCTCTCTTCCTCCCTCTCTTCCCCTTTCTAAAAATAAATAAATAAAATCTTTAAAAAAAAAAAAAAAAGAATGGAACTGGAGCATTCTATTTCCCTAGGAGACCTGGCTGTTCTGCACAGGAAGCTTCTATCTCCAGAAGCGCAGACACCCCGCTAGTTCCTCTTGTGAGGCACAAGACAGGTCGCCCTGAGCCGTGTCCCCGCTCCTCCAAAGGCCCTGTGTCCTACCACCGCCACCACCCTGCCCGAGTTGCCTCTGGCCCCACCAGGACTTGAAAAGGATGGCCTACGAAAAGTCAGTCGACATCTCTGACTTCTCCAGGTCAATGTTCAAGCACCCATGGCTGGAATATCCAAACAGGAACAAAGGTGAGGCCAGAATGGAGAGGAACAGAATGCGGGGCAAGGGTCTGAAAAGGAAAGCTCCCTGGCTCCCTTCCCACGCAGGGGTCTGGGGGAGTTCAGCAAATCCATGGGAGGGGCCAGGGCAAGACCCCTGGACACTTTGGTGGCTCCCCGCAACCCTCAAGTCTCCAGGGTCCTCTAAGGTGGGGCATCTCGTGTTTCTTCCACTTCTGCTCCCACACCAGCACCCCGGCTCTCTACCTATTTCTTACACCTCTAAGTCTTTGCATAATTGTTCCCCGTGCTTAGTGCTCCTCCCCCTTAGACTTGGACTGAAGACTCCACTTGTGCGTAATCTCCAGGAAACCTTCCCTGATCCTCCCAGCCAGGTCCAGGGCCCCTCCTCTGTCCCACCTGTGCCTCCATCTGTCTTCACATTTGTTTCCCTCTGTTAATCGCTGATGAACAGTTCAGTCTCAGTCCAGGGGTTCTCAAAGTGTGGTTCCTGGACCAGGAGCATCGGCATCTTGTTAGAAACGCAAGTGCTCACACCCAACACCAGATCCACTGAATGAACGCTCTGGGGAGGAGTCCCAGAAATCGGTTGGAACAAGCTCTCCAGAGGATCCTAACGCGCACTCAGGTTTGAGAACTGCTGACGGAGGCCAGTGGTTGTCACCATGAGCCGCACATTAGAATCCCCTGGGGAGCTTCCTAAAATACTGAGACCGCTTCCTCAGAGGATCTGTTCTCATTCTGTTAGTCTCACGTAGGGCCAAGGCATGTTAAAAGGTCCCTCAAAAAATTCTAATACGCAGCCAAGGTTGAGAGCCACTCTGCCAGACAGACCAGTGTTTCTCCAACTTCAAAGTACAGGGTCCAGCACAAATAATGTCCCTTTTTTAAAAGCTGATAATCTATACCAAATCTTTTATTACACGTTCACATCGTAAGCATGTAATTCGGTAATGTAACAACATCCCGCTCCAGCACGCCCTAGGGCGTTTTAGGTGACCTGTTCAAACTGCCGTCCATCTCGTGCGAGACATTCGCGTGCCCAACCCACCGCACTCAGGCAGGCGTCACTTCTGCCGGACCCTGTACGGAGGAATCTTGTTAAAATGAAGATCCTGATGTGGGAGGCCTGGGGGGAGCCTGAGAGTCTGCATTTCTGAGAAACTCGCAGGCGATGGCCACGCGACTGTTCCGCACACCACGTTATGAACGGCAAGGTGGCAGAACACGGTGAGCCCCCGCGGACAGGAGCGATGCCGTGCTTACTCCCTGTGCTGGCACTAGTGCTCACTAAATGCTCAATAACAGATGCCCCAGGGGATGGTTCCTGAGCCCACCTTCGTAACTGCTGTCTCATTCACACCACAGAGCTCAAAAAAGCCTTGGCACCTGTTCACCTGCCCTTGTCCTGCTTCCAGGTAGGTAGGACCCCTAACTTTTGCCATCCTAGGAGCTTTGTTGAAGTAAGAGGGACAGCAGACTGTCCCCTCCTATGAAGGCCAGTTCACAGAACCCCAACACTCACCCTTGGGGCTGCTACCAATCCCTGGGCAAGTCCCTTTCCCTCCCTGAGCCTCAGAAGCCCCCTTCCGTGCAAGAGGCTGAGCCTGGCAGAGCCGCTGCGAGGCTGCATCTGTAAGGCCTGGCCTACCAGGTGGGCAGTGCTCAAGGAGGAGTCGTTTTTATTAATTAACACAGGGATCCTCATAAAATATTTTATTTAACAGGGTGCCCAGTTAAATTTGAATTTCAGATAAAACAGTGAATCACTTTTAATATATATATGTCCCAAATATTGCATTCATTACCTGCAGCCCAAATGTAACGGAACATCCTGTGTTTTGTTTGCGTGTTTACTAAATCGGTGACGGCTCTGCCACTCACATACCGCCACACCCCAGATGCCAAAGGAGGAGGTTCCCCCAAGCCCAGAGTGCTGGAGGCAGCACCCGCGCAAGTCCAGCTCGGCAGCTTACCGCCACTCGGAGGTCTCCATGCACTGGCTCACCCTGTACAATCAGCGACAGGAATGGGAGACCCAGAAGATGTTGCAGAAAATGAGAGATTGCCCCAGGTGTGCTTCACCCGCCCCCACTGCTTCACCTCCTCCCTCCACAGCCAGGAAAGAGGAAGAAGGCGTGTGGTGGGGCTGGGAGGGGAGCAAGTCAGCCGACAGACCCCAGGGAGGGCCCCGGGGTAGGCGGGGCTCCTCTGTCTGCCTCTGGCCCCCTCTCTAAGCTGGGCTGAGAATTGGGGGCAGAGCAGAATTTGTGACGGAGGGAAGGAGGCCACGAGGGGACCAAGGCTGCCTGTGCAGTTTCTCACACAGGTACTTCAAAGAGAGTGCTGCCATCCGAAGAACCCATCTCTCCGTGATCCAGCTGACTATGAAACCTCAGAGGAGACCCAAGCCTTTGCTCCCTCCTGGGGACTCCCTGAAGGGGCAGAGGTTAAAGGTCCGGGACCATGGTGGGAGGGAGGAAGGCAGACTCCCTTCCTCTGCGCTCACACCATCCTTCAGTCCCCCAACCCCCCTACCCGCCTCACCCCAATCCTCGCCTGCAAAGTGGAGGGAGGAGAGGAACACGGATTGGATTGGATGAGCTCCTTTTTCAGTTGGAAGCTCTACAACCATATTGACCCCTTTCTTCCTTTCCACTGGCTTCTTTGGATGGGCAGGAACTCACAGAAAGCCTGAAGTCTCCCCGGGAAGACGAGCAGTTCTACGCGGCACAGGTGAGAAGTAGCGAGGGCGGAGGGGGCGTGGCTGCAGGTAGGAGTAGGCTGAGCGGGAGAGTAGAAAGACGCTTGAGGTGGGGGGTGAGGAGGGGGGTTCCAAGAACAAAACCCAGATGTGTGCAGAGAATGGCGACCCCTGGGGCGGTGTCCAAGGTCTCTCCCCCTTCCTCCACCCCCGGTCCTGCAGGCTCTGGGGTGCCTGGGCGTCGGTGACAAGTTTGCAATAGAGACGCTGTTCCAGGTGGTGAGTCTAGGGCTGCCCCGGGTTCAGGAGAGGAGGGAACAAGGCATGAGGTGTATAGAACTGGGCACATGGGCACAGAAAAGTGTCGCAAGGCTGCAAGGACGGCGGCCGGCCCCCGTGAGGAGAGCTGCCCGGTGCGGACCACGCCGCCTCCTGTCTTCGTTTCCTTAAAGGGCAGCTTAATCTAAAAGGGTGGGAAAGGCGGAGTCTGAAGCTCCCTTTTGTCTAAGACAATGGCAGTGAGACTGAGTTCATTCTCAGCCCTGACTGACTCCTTGCCTCCTTGTCTATACGCCGGTGTATAATGGAGAGCGTGCGCCCTTCCCCATAATCTTGTGTGTCTTGCCATACTAGGAACAGGTAGTAGTATCTGCAGTTTCCTAATGAGAAAACGGAAGCTCTGAGAGGCCACGCCACTCGCCCAAGGCCCCGTGGCTACTAGATCAAATATCCAGACGGGTATTTGAACAAAAGTCTGACTCCCAAGTGGTCTTCCTCCCCTGGCTCCATCCTGGCTGTGCTGTCTCTGGGCATAGACAAGTTGCTTTCTAGGCCTCCGTTTCCTTATTTATAAAATGGCATTAAGCTGAGATTCTCAAAGCTCTGGCATTTCATCACCTTACAGCATTTTCCACCACCTGCCTCTTAAATCAGGCCCAGACTGGTCCAGAGAAGGTGGCGCATGAGGCCTATAGATCCTTGGCCATCCTGGGTGAGTGCGCCCTCTCCATGGGCAGGGAGCTGGGGGAGGTAAGACAGGCGGCAGCGCAGCCACCGTCGCCTCTGTGTAAGGACGGGAGGGAGTGGAGTGTGCACCCACCCCACCCTGGCACTTGGCAGTGTCCGGGGGCTCTCCCAGGTGCTGTTGGGCAGAGGCCGGTGAAGTGAAAAGGGAGACTGGAACTGAGGTCAAGCTCAGACCCTGGGAGGATGGGCAACACCTGGGACCTAGTGCTTGGCACCTGCCTTGAGGGCACAGAGGAGTCAAATGGCGCCTGGCAGAGAGGAGGCCCAGCCCTGACCCAAGGACCCTCCCCGTCCAGGTTGCCTGGATAAGGCCGTGATCCAGGCTCTCATCAAGCAGTTGAAGGGGCAAAACGAGGAGCAAAGGATGGATGCTCTCAGGGGACTACGCGTAGCTCTCAACTTCTGGGCTGCTGTCCCCAACGACAAGGTGACTGGGAAGAGCTCAGTCATGGGGCAAAGTACGACACGGTAACTGACGGCGTTGGCTTGGGACTGGTCAGGCAGAAGGGACGCTCGCTCCCCATTTTGATTGGGAAGGCAGGTCCTGCGCACTGTCCTGACCGGAAGCTCTGGCGTAGCCACCTAGCAGTCACACAACCTCTGAAAAGCCAGCTTCTGCAGCCACCGTTTGTCTCTCTCTGACACAGCGACAGTAATTACCTTGCAGCACTGTCGAGAAGACTAAGTGAAATAACGTGTGTCAAGTGCCTAGTTCCACGCCTGGGCTCTCTGAATGGTACCCATAATCATCATCATGCCTAAAATAATGTATTAAAGGGAAACCGCTGTCAAGATGGGACAGGGATCAAGAGAGTCCGCTAACACTACTCAAGATTTTTCCCAGTTGGGTCCTCTTACTTTAACCCCATCATTGCTCCAAATAAACCTAGGCTAAACCGCTACCATGGGCCAGGCACTCTCCTGCGCCCTTGGGAGACATCAGTGAACCAAACAGACCAAGGTGTCTGCTTTTGTTGAGCTTTTATTCCAGTGGGGGCCGACTCTTAAAGACCAGTAACCTTCATTACGTAGGGTGTTAGAGGTAACAAGCACGATGGAAAAGTTGTGTAGATGGGTAGGGTGTTCTGGGATGCCACATGGGGACAGGTATAGGTTGAGATTTTAAACATGAACGAGAGGGAAGACCTCATTCAGAAGGTGTTGTTTGAGCAAAGACAGGATGGTAACGTTGGCCTCGAAGACGCTGAGGGAAGGCGTTCTGGCAGAAGGACCGGGCGACACGAACGCCCTCGGTCAGGAGTGTGCTGGACACATCGAGGACCCGCGGGGCAGCCGGTGTGGCTGCGGCGGAGAGGGACAAGAGGAGGCAGTAGGAAATGAAGCGAGGTCAGAGACGTTAACAGGAAGCCGGGTCCTAGGTAGCCTTCTGGACAACTTGAAGTGCTTGGGCTCTTACTCTGAGGGGAATAGGGGCCATTTGAGCGAGGCAGGGAGTGGCATGGTCTAACGTTTCAAAAGGTTTACTCTGACCGCTGTGTTGAGAAACATGGGAGGAGGGAGACAAGGTGGAAGCAGAAAGACCAAATTAGGGGCTGCGGAGGCAATCCGGGTGAGGGGTAGTGGACACATTTTAAAAGTTAAACCGACAGGCTGAGTGTGAGCTATAAAAGGCAGTGTGGAAGCAAGGATGAAGCCAAGGCTTTTGGCCTAGCAAATGAAAGATGGAGAGACCTGCGGGCGGAACAGGTTTTGAGGCAATACCTTAAGTCCAGTTTGGGGCAGCTTATGTGTGAGATGTCTGTTGGATGTGCAATTTGGAGTTCAGGAAAGAAGTCTGAACTGGAGGAAAAAAATGAGTTGTCAACATATAGACAGCATCTAATGTCATTCAGCTAGATGAGATCGCTAACAAAAGGACCAAGAATCCAGCCTTGGGGTGCCCCAATGTTAAGAGAAGAGGAAGAGCCAGTCCCTGTGGAGTCTAGCAGTTGTTGACATCAGGAGGTGAAGCTGGAAAGACAGGAGGTGACGGTCAGAGAGCGGGACCTGTGCAATGGATGTCGCGGAGTTGTAGTGATGGGTAATGATAGAGTCTCTGTGGGACTTAGGGGCTGACAAAGAGCGGAGGACAGGGTTATTGGAGGAGCGGAGCTGGATTGAGGACATTTATATTTTTGTTAATGCCAGGAACTAGACAGCAGAAGTGTTAAAGGGAGAGCCATTGATCCATTCAGAAGTCATAGAGAAATGAGAGGATGTGACCTCGGAGCAAGTAGATGACAGCAAAACTAAGAAGTATTTAAAACAGTCAATAACATAAGGTCCATTTAGGGAGGAGGGAGAATGGTCTGGAAGCAGCAATGCACTGCTCTCTGAGCAAAGCCTGGCTGAAGGCACGGTCCCCGCCCTGTCACCTCCTGTCTTCCTCTCAGAGGACTCAAGTCGGCGATGAAGGGACGCTCGTGTCTGTGCTGCAGATGCTGATGCAGACACTGCAGGACGAAGCGGCTGTGGAGGCAGCCCTGTGCTTGGGCTTCCTGAGGCCCTGCAGCGACACCGCCCGGGAGTTCTTGCTGCGGTGCCTGCACCAAGGGCCCAGGCCCCAGAGGATGAAGGTGCGAGGGCAGGCGGCTGGGCCCCCAGGGAGCCGGGGGAAACAGAGGCCAGTGCTGACTTCCGTGGGGTCTGGACCCCGTCATCCTCACCCAGGGAAAAGAAGCTTCAGCAGGGAGTCCTGCAGGGCCCTGTGTGTATGAATACGTGCATGCCTGGGTGTGGGGGCATGTGGACGCAAGTGCACATGCATCTGTGTACACTGGATGTGAATGGGTGTCCACTTAAGTACGTGCACACTCAAGAGACAGGATCCCACCAATCCCCAGTGAGTTCTCAGCCCTCCAGATTCTTCTTGGACCCCATCTGCCCTACCTGCCCCCGACAGGCACTTAGGATGCTGGTGAGGAGGATGCATGTACACTCAGCCGAGGTCATCAGGGCCAGCCTGGACCAGCTGTGCCATTCTAGTGTCCTTGAGGTACGCTCTAGGGCTGCCTTGCGCCTCTCCTTCCTCAGCACTCGCACCGGGTTGGAGGGTGGGTGAGAAAAGGAGTCTATCCCTCATGGCCCCCCAACCCTGCCCCCAGCACCGCTTTGAAGCCACGCAGCTGCTCAAGACCATTGGCCTGGAGCAGATCCAGGCACAGGGGCTGGAGGGGCTCGTATTCGACCTGCTCCAGAGGAAGACGTATAATGAGCCCTTCCTTGTAAGTGAAACCAAAGCGCCCAAGCCCAGGCAGCCCGAAGCTGTCTCATCTGCCTCCTCTGAAAACCACTCCTGTCTTGGCTCCCCCTCCACCGCACTGCCCCCTAGAGAACCACATTCACCCTAACCCACTGCGTCCCTAACGCAGCCCCCGTTTTCAGGCCACCATGCCTCTGCTCAGGCAGTTCTCTCGGCAAAGTGCCTCCCTGCTCTGCCTATTCACACTCACTAGTAACTCCTCTCTCCTTCTGCCTATTAGAATATAACAGCTCCTTCAAGACCAGTCCAAACACCAAATCGTTGCAAACAGACTCGTGTCTGCCCTCCTGTGCTCCCTTGCTTTTATCTTTATAATAGATAGCTACTCAAAACTAGCCACAGAACTTTTATCTGAAGACACTCTTCTAAAATGTGAACCAGACTGTGTCTCACCTAGGTATAGGCCTTTGCAATAGCTCCCTGCCACCCTCAGGGTGACCTCCCCTGTCCTTCGCCACCCGAGGCCTGCTCACGCCTCTGGCTTCATCTCAGCGGCTCTCCCTCAGAACCACACGCCTGCTGTGCTTCGAATGCCCGTCCCAATGTACACCTGTGGTCCCGCTGTGCCCCACTTTCAACAGGTGGTTTGGTCACCCAGCTAAACTGAACTATTTTCTGTTCTCTAAATACCCTGTGCTCTCTTGCTTGACTCCAGGCTTTTGTACCTGTCCCGCCTCTGCCGGGAACATCACCGTCCCCCAGCTCTCTGCTTGGTTAACTCTCACTCACCCTTCAGCTTCCAGTTGAGAAGTCAGCTCCTCCAGGAAATCTTGCTGGTACCCAGACTGAGTTAGGAGATCTTCCTGCGCACACCCTACACTTAGCTCAATTGTAACCCTGGTCACAGTGACGTCATTGCCTACTCATTTGTCTGCTTCTACCACCAGACCATGAGCTCTTTAAGGCAAGGCCCACTTTACATGCAGCACAAACTAAACATTCAATGAAGATTTGCATCCTGGCTGGTGTGGCTCAGTGGATTGAGTGCCGGCCTGCACACTAAAGGGTCGCCAGACCAGTTCCCAGTCTAGGGCACATGCCTTGGTTGTGAGCCAGGTCCTCAGTAGGGGGCGAGTGAGAGGCAAGCACACATTGATGTTTCCCTTTCTCCCTCCCTTCCCCTCTCTAAAAATAAATAAATAAATAACTTTTTTAAAAAAAGAAAAGGTTTGGGAAGCACTTAAGGGTACCCCCTGCACCCCCCCTTCCCTCTTCAGGCTATGAGGCAGGCTGTGGCTGAAACAGTGGAAGAGCTCAAGATGAAGCCCACGATGTTGAACTTGGTGGAGGCGTGAGTGGCGTGGGCTGGGAGCTGCCAGGGCCACGTCCTGGGCTGTGGGAAGGGGGCAGGGGGCCGGAGAGCTGAGACCCCGCTGCCAGGCCCCAGCCCTCGCTTGCCCGTGCCCCTGGCCAAGTCCCTCTTTGACCCCTGGACTTTTCTCCAACTGTAAAAAGAGGCCGATTATACCTACCACTCAGGGATGCTATAAAGCTCAGATTAAGATGAGGACACGAAAGGTCAAGTTCTGGACAGGTGTGATTGCCATTCAGCACCTCCTTGCCAATTGCAGTTCCTGCCTTTTCCCTCCCAGCCCCTCTCCTGACCCAGGAAACAAGAGTGAGAAATTAATGAAATCAGCATCACTCAGCAGCCTTTTGCCCAGCTCACTCTGGCCACAGTAAAGCAGCATCAGCCTCCCGGCCGCTGCCCCTCACTGGGCCACCACACTTGCCCCCTTCTCCACAGGCAGCTGACGAGCCCGAGCACCGCGGCGCGCGAGGAGGCGGTCATCTCTTTGGTAAGAGGCTCTGCGTCTCTGACCAGGGGGGTTGACGGCTGGGGCCCCCGGCAACTGAGAATTATGGAGGGGAGAAAAGGGCTGTAAAGTTTGGGAAGGGTTTTGCTTGCTTGTTTATTTTATAATTCCAGCCCTACCAGGAGCTCTTGTTCTTCAGGATTGGAGGTCAGAGGGATAGGGCACAGGAGATGGGTGTGAGGGGCATTGCTAGAAGCTGCAGAAATTGTCTTAACTCTTGCTGATGAATAGTGTGCACCGGAAGCCAAGGCAAGTGGCCTTCTAAGGCCAGGAAAGAGACACCTCAGCTGCGACGCCTACTGCAGCTCCGCAGGCCACAGGGCCGCCTCAGGGGGGCTAGAACATAGACGGGCACGCCCTGGGGCTGGCTACTCAGGCACGGCCCTCTGCTGCTGCCAGGGCGTCCTGGGGATCCGCAGCCCCCAAGTGTTCTACTTGCTCCTGGAAATGCTGGACGAGGAGAAGAACCAGTCTGTGAAGAAGAGTGTAAGACACTCCTGCCCTTCTTCCTCTCCTCAACCCCTCCTCCAAGCCTGTCCCATCCATCCTGGCTGCTTGTTCTTTGTCAGGAGGGAGGAGCGGGGAATAAGCCCTCAGCCACTGTCCCTTGACCTCATTCCATAGCAGCCTGTGGCCAGAGTGCCCCTTCCCTGGGGTACCCACTCCACTCCCAGCCTTAGCCTGAGGCGAGCCAGCCACAGAGCTTTTATTTCAATGCAGCTACAAGAAACATTCATTCTTTTGGCCTCAACTGATCCCTGGATCCAACACAAGCTGAAAAACAAGGTTCTCTTTGTATATGAGGCACCTAAGAACGAGAAGGCAGAGCCTACAAGGTTCAGGGAAAGGCATGAGCACCCAGAAGAGTTACCCATCCAAGACTTTCAGCTTGCAAAGCTGAACCCCTTGTTTATTGCAAAGGCCAGCGCCACATCCAACCCACAGAAAAAGTCAAGCGCCCAGACAGGGTCTGCCCAATACCTCACTTCCGCCTTCCCTTCCTGCTTCCCTAAACCACCGAAACGCAAGCCGCAGGCCGCGGGGCCCTGGGTGCCGGCAATCAGGAAGCAGCTCCGGATCCTTGCCAAAACCTCCACATAGGGCAGTTCTTTGGGCCTGAGGATGCGTCTCGGGCTCCCCTGAGGAAACAATCTCTGCTTGTCTTCCACGAATAAACGCGTCCCTCTGCCGACCACTACTGTTCCCTTCATCAGCGGCTACACAGAAACACAGGCCTCCTCACTCTCGGCTGAGTGTCCTTTCCACTCAGCCACATGTCCTTGGAAGGGAGAGCGAGAACAGAACCAAAGCTGTTCTGGATGGCCAAAACACACCTCCCTAAATTGAGCCCTTGTCTATGCCCAGGATGTAAGGACAAAGCTAAAAAGCTGAGCCACTGCCCAGGGCGGGCTGCTGAAGGGAAAACAGGAGAAAATCCTGGAAAGCTTGGCTCTTGGACAATTTCCTCTTACTAACATGCCCAGCCCACTGCCTCTCTGTCAGCGGTCAGGAGAGACTTAGGTGTCCCCTGACCTCAACCACCCTCTCTGCTGTCCCTCCCCCACCTTTCTACCTACAAAGGGCTTTGGTTTCCCTTTGCTAGTAGCACCTGCCCCACCAATCCCAACAAGCTATGTCCTCCCCATCAAAAAAAAAAAAAAAAAAGACAGACTTTGGGATTAGGTCATCTGAAGTCTGGGCCCATTGTTTACTTGATCTTTGACTCTGAACAAGTTACTTACCTTTCTGACGGTACCTGGCCTACAAAATGAAGAGAGGAACGTGCACTACTTCAGAGAGGTCCTATAAGGATTCATAATAAAAAGCCTAACAGTGCCTGGCACTGAGCAGTAAGCTCTGAAATGTGAACTTGTTCTCCTTTCCTCTTCTCAGTGTTGTCATGTGCGCGTGTGACAGCCAGAGGCTGAAAACATCCTGTCACTCCCGTTCACTTCCCTAGTCTTATTGAAGCAATCTCCTGGGAGGGCATGCTTTTCCCATCACGCGAAGAACAATCAAAGCTAAACAGATGTTCCCTTCCCCTTCCCCATACTCCAGGTTCAAGAATGGTCTAGTTATTCGGAATCCAGCATGGGGTGTGTGTCTTTCAGATTTATCTCCCCACCTGCCCTACCACGTCCGGATTCATGTTTTGCCCCATAGAGAGTTGCAAAAAAACAAAAAAACAAAACAAAACAAAACAAAGAAAAACCCAAGGGTAGTTTCACTATGCTGGAGTGTAAACAACACTGCCTCTTAATAGTATGGCACAAAGACCAAAGACAGGAAAGGTAATCTTCCTCCCTTGCTCAGTCTGCACTGTTGGGTCAGTAAGCAACAAAACCCAGATTTCCCTGGGTCTTCACCATCTGTGGGTGCAAACCAGGCCTTACTACCTACCTAATTCTCAACCCCTGCAACGCCCTGCCCACAGCTCTGCAGCCCATCCTCCTCCACGGTTCCGGGTCTCTCTGGAGGACGTCTCATCCCTTGGCCAGATACCCCACCTCTGCTCAGTGGCACCTCCATCCTAATCTCACCAGGCCTCACCGGAAGAGTTAAGACAGTGCTGAGCGTGGAGTCCGCAGAGGGCGCTCGCCCTCGGGTGCACTGCCAGCTGTGGCCAGAGTCTCTCAGAGGCCCGGAATGCCCACTCCTCTCAGCCACCGAGGGAATGATCCTTGGACACCATCCAAAATGTAAATCCCCCCTCTTCTCTCTCGTCTCTTTCTAATGGGGTCTGTGGATACAAACAACATCAACAGCCCCTGCCTCTGCCGTGAACATTCTCACCCACCTCTGCGCCGCAGCGGAAGCCGGGCTCTCCGGGACCGGCGTCTTCCTGAAACCTCAGGGGTCGCTCAGCCTTCTCTATTCCTTCCAATGTCACCGCCATCCTTAACCTTCATACAAAAGTCATTGTTCCTCTCAGGGTCTCGGCTCTCCAAGCAGCTACACCATCCTCTGGTCCACTTCCCTATTTTCGCTTGTTCGTTGCCTGAACCCGGGTCTTGGCGACACCCTGGCGGTGTCCTTGGACAGCCACCCGACACCCAGCTCTTCAGCCCTTGGTATCAGCTAAAAGGCTTTTCCCTTCCGTTCTCTTCAGCTATCCACCTCCATGGCCACACCTAGCGCGTCACCCCCAGGAATTTCTCCATCTCCAAAATCCTGAACATACGCTTTCTGACCCAAATCTTCTATCCATCCTGTTCTTTTTATCCCCGCCATCAGCTCTTCGAATCTCATCAGCAACACTAAGCTCTTGACTTCCCTCCACTTCCGTTTGCCCCTTTTCTTTTCTCCCTACCCAGCCTGGCCTCCATCCACCAACCACGATCCTCGTTATTCTCATTCTCAACCCTGAAGCCTAGAACCAGGATTCTATAACCAGGTTGCTGATTAAACCTGGAGAAAAATCGGACATCCATCTAGACTGGTACCCCCCAATACTTGCCTCCTATCTTAACTGAGTCCTTATTATTGTCTGGCAATTTTCTGAATTCCTACAATGGCTATTTCAAGCCCTCTCTGCTATCCTCACATTTCCTACAGTCTCTTCAAACTTTCTAACATGTTCCTTCCCCAACTCTCCATCAGATGGAATTACCTGAACTTCCTGCCACCTCTGCTATCGGCATCCTGTACGTAGCAAAGAGCAAGTGCTCGAAAGCCAGATGCTTGAGTTGAGGACTCCTGGCCCTGCCCCTCACTAGAGATGTGATCCCGAGCAAGCTGCTTAACCTCTCAGTGCCCCTGTTCTTCACTGTGCCCTCTGGAAAGCCCCTTCCCAATGGCAAGCAAAATCATTCCAGGGCTGTCCAACCTTTTGGTGTCTCTGGGCCACACTGTTAAGAGCTGTCTTGGGCCACACATTAAATACACAGTAACAAAAACAAAAAATCCCATGTTTTAAGTAAATTTATGATTTTGTGTTGGGCTGCATTCATAGCCATCCTGGGCCGCGTGCAGCCCGCAGGCCGTGGGTTGGACACCCCTGGCTTTACACCATTCATCCCCCGTGAAACATTCCCGTATATACCACTTTGCCTGACAGCACTGTTGTGAGAATTAAATGAGTTCACACACACACACACATTGCTTGTAATAGTGTTCCCAATAAACGTTTAAAAAGTTTGGAATTTTCCATTCGATGGCTCTAGTAGGGCTTAGTTGTCAACTTCATTCAAAACAATTGTTAGTTTTGTGACAGCTGCCACATCAGTGTGCATTTAAAAAAAATCAAAACTGGTAAATTTTTTTGTAGCTACTTTAATATTGAAGCTGGAAGAAAATGTGCAACATTTTCAGCATATTATGATTATTTCAAGGTAAAAATGCAACTGAAACGCAAAAAAATTGTGCAGTATATGGAGAAGGTGCTGTGACTGATTGAATGTGTCAAAAGAGGTTTGGTACTACTGACATTTTGGCCAAATAATTCTTTGCTGCAGGGCTGTCTTATGCACTGAAGATGTTCAGCAGCAGCCCTGGCCTCTATCCACTAGAAGGCCATCGCGGCAAAGAGCTGACATACTCAAAATACCCAAATCAATAAAGTTATTGGTGAAAATGAAAAATGTGTCTTTTACAGAAAAAATTGAAGACTTTCTGGTCAACCCAGTATTTTATCAGCATCGGCAGCTATCCTTACCTCCCATTTTGTAATGCATTCTCCTCTTCCAAGGCAAATCTTCTACCAGTATTCTAGGTGCCATTTCTTCAAGGGATCTGAGTATCAATTATCCCCATTTCAAGTAGTGTATAAATATGCTCAATTTTCACCCATCTTCAAAGTAACCTCCCACAGCCCTGGCTGCAGTGGCTCAGTTAGTTGGTCACGGGTCTAATTTGTGGTCGGGGCACATCAAAAGGCAACTCGTTTCTCTCTCACATTGATGTTTCTCTCCCTTCCTCCCCTCCCCTCTACAACCAAGAAGCTTGTCCTTGGGTGAGGAGAAAAAGTAAAATAAAATAACCTCCCACAAACCCATGTGCCGTCTCAATGACTCCTCTACTTAAGACACCCCACTTCTAATCAACTTTCATAATCAAAATTTTTAAATGCTTTTGTCTCCATTTCCCCAGTTTGTTATTCATTACCCCATTTTCATTTGGGGTCAGAATTCAATTCTCTACCAAAACTGCTTTTGCTAAGACAGTGGTTCTCGATAGGCTGATTCTGCCCACCCCCCTGCCCCCTGCCAAGGGATGCTTGGCAGTATCAGGAGACATTTTTAGTTGTCACACCTGGAGGCTGCTATTCGTGTCTCCTAGTAGAGGCCCGGGATGTTGCTAAACATCCCACAATGCACAGGGCAGCCCTCTACAACAAAGAATTACCCAATCTAAAATGTCAGCAGTATCACGGTTGAAAAAGCCTGTGCTGAGGCCAATTATAACCTCCCCATTGCTAAATATACTGAATGCTATCCTACACATGATTTGGCCTGGCTTGAGCACTTGACACCATTAGCTTCTCCTTCCATGAAACTCACTTCTCCCTTGGGTCATTCTGTCTGTTTCAGGATCCTCTTCTGTTACCTCTTTATCAGTATTTCTCACGGTTCTATCCTCAGCTCTTCTCTCTCTACATCCCAAAACCATTAGAATAAACTGGACAGGGCTCTTTTCAAATATGCCCAGGCCTCACTCACAGACTTCATTTTGGGGTGAAGCCCAGATATCCTTTTTTAAAAAACTTGTTAATTCTAGCATACAGCAAGGTAAGGAACCACTATTATAGAGTCTTATTTTAATCATACCCACTCTCATCAACTGAGTTACCTTTTCTGTATTAATGACTCTCAAATCTCTATCTGTAATAGATTCCCTCACTTAGTCAATGTCCCCTCAGTACCTACTCTGTGCCTCCTGCTGTTCTAGGCACCGAACAGTGAGCAACAGACCAGGTTTCGGGCTCTCCTGGAGCTCATGTTCTAATCGAGGACAGAGAAATGACCAACCACAAAAAGATCATCTCAATACTGATAAGTACTGTGACAACGCTGTAAGAGGTGATGTTAGAGTAATGAGGGAGAGACAGTATTTAAATAGAAAGGCCAGGGAAGAATCTGACCCAGAATTGTACTGAAAAGGAG